CTTCACAAATCCATTCTACAACAAGTTGACAATACCAACTTTTGGATAATAATACCAAACGAAGAAGCTAGATATTACCAGAATTGTTCAGGCCGATTATCATCATCAATCCTAATACAACCGGCGTTGATTTATCCTTCAAACTGCTCAATTAAAATAGACGATAAACCAATTTCATCCACCATTTTTGAGAAAGAAGCAACCCGTCATGCTGAACTTTAAGGAAACCATGAAACCCAATACTTCGGAATATTTAATAAACACATCAGATTTGGAAAATATACAACTAGACGAATTAACCAACATTAAGAAAGATTTAGAAAACGCCAATCTAGAGTTATTTGAAGTACAGCTCCATAGACACCCTGTGTGGACATTTTTACCATATCCAATATTCATCATTGCCATAGCAACTTTAATTTGGAAATACAAAAAACTACCTATACCATTTCGAAAGAAGGCAGCAATACCACATCATGAAGAAACAAGTTTAGGACCCTGTGACCCTAAACTTTGCATTTAGAAGGGAGGAGTTACGACGACCACCTACACAGGAATTGTGCAGTGCAAGCACCTGATAAGAACCCCTAATTTCTTAAGTTTAATTTTATATTCATTCTTCTCTTAGATTCTTAATTGTAACGATCATTTCATTTTCTTTAATTTTTGTATTTTATAAATTAAATAAATTTTTTTAAAATACAAGTGTGTGTTCGTGAAACGTAACTGAAACATGGCTTTTATTACTCCACATTACTTAATAGTCAAGTATAAATAAAATATTTATTATTTTTTAAGAAAATGATTAATTTTTTTTGTCATTACTCAGGTAAAGAAATAATTTCAAAAAAAAAAATATTTGCTGTAATTAAGCAGTTCTTTTATACACGGTGCACTGCGGTGATGTAAAAAAGTGTAATTTATAATAAAAGTGAGATTTTAAAGATTTTTCGTTAGATCGTGAGCTTGAATGCATATTAGTGAGATCTTGGATGCCTGCTTATGGACCTCGTTTACTAGCTCAGGACTACAAGCCCCTACTCTACCTGTTGCTGAGACTCAACTACGTGGCGCAATGGGACAACGGAGTCATCGAGTAAGCCTCCAACAATTTAAATTGTAAGGTGGTAGCTTTAGTGGTAAGGAACTATGTAAATTAAATAACATTAGGCACAGACTGGTTAATGGACAATGGTGTTATTATAGACTTTTCTGCTAAGATAATTAGAATTAAGGATAATGGTAAGGATCATAATATTAAGTTCAATAGTTTAGAGAAATTTGTTCTTTAGGTTTAATTGATAATAGTGATAAAAGCATAAATATTATTCAACAACTTCAGGAAGTCGTGGGAGTGTTACCGGTTGAGAATAAATGAAGCGGTTTTCTAAAGTTTTTCATCCGAACCCTGGACTTACCGATAAATACACACAAAAATTTATTTATACGACGACCGTACCTTGTATCCTTTCCATCCAGGTCACATTAAGCGAGATGGAAAGGTTAGGAGTAATTAAACGAAAAGCTTTACCTTTTGCGAGCCCTATGATGGTAGTAAAAAAGAAAGATGGGACCGTGCGTATAGGTTCAGACGCCGCCGATAGATGAAACAGCGGTACCACGGAATCTCATATATATCCACCATCTCCGGTCATCGTATTGGCAAATTCCACTGGACGCGGATAGTCAGAAATATACGGCTTTCTTGTACAACGGTCGTAGTTTTGTGTACAAAGTCTGCCGTTTGTGCTTAAAACTGCTGTAGGATAATTTAGTAGAGCGATGGATATTATATTAGGAACAGAAGTGCGTGAATTTACCACGCACTACATCGATGATCTGTTAATAACATCGCGTACGTTGGAGGACCACTTAAATTACATTGCCGCTGTTCTAAGTAGATTAAAGGACGCCAAAATGGTGAATTTGGGTTATCTGCTTGATTAATGACGAGGGCAGTTTTAGGTCGTCTCTAAGTTGGGTGTTTCTTACGAAGTAGGGTGCACCAGTTATGAGCCTCATGGTTCGATTCTTCAGGGTTTCGAGTTTGGCCAAATGAGTCTTTGCAGCGCTTGCCCAGGCTGGACTGGCGTAGGTTAGGATTGGCCTGATTATGGAAGTCCATACTAGTCTTCTGTTTTTTAGAGATAGCTTGTTAACTGGATGTAGAAGAGGCCTCAGTTGAATGGAAGCAGCAGTAGCCTTACCAACAGTGTTGGTTATGTGATTTTTCCAGGTCATGCGTTTATCTATGGTCACTCCAAGATATTTTACTTCTTTAGCCACTGGATCTGTTGGTTTCCATAAGTTAGAGGTTGAGGCATGTTTATGTTTGGGCCCTTGGCAAGGATGATGGCCTGCGTTTTTTCAGGATTTATCACGATTCTCCAGCGAGCTGCCCATGCCTCCAGTGAGTCAAGGCCGTTTTGAAGACTTTACGCCTAGAGATGTACAAGGCCATATCGTCCGCATACAACGCCAACTCCAGTCCTGGGGGTCTGGGTATATCTGACATGAAGATATTGTATGTATAGCGTAGGGCCCAGTACGGAGCCCTGCTGTGATGTTGTGTGGTTCAGATGTAGAGTTACCCACTGTTACCGTGAATGTTCTTTTTTTCAGGTAAGATGTAATTAGCTTGATTAATTGGGGGGAGAAGTCCAGTTCCAACATCTTTGCAAGGATACCGGGATGCCAGACCCTGTCAACCGCCTTAGATACATCTAAAAGTACCATGCCTCTCTTTTGTTTGGTATCAAAGCCGCTATAGATGTGATTAGCCACTCTAATGAGCTGCAACTCTTTCTCTTTTTTATTATTCTTTCTGCTACCTTTGCCAGAGAGGAGAGCAAGGGGATGGGCCTGTAGTTGGCAGAGTGAGTCGGTGACTTTCCAGGCTTTGGGATCATTATAACGTTGGCTTTTTTCCAGGAATTTGGGAAGTGCTGGGTAAGAAGAATGCCGTTTATCGTGGACTTGAGTAGGTTTAGTGAGCGTTCCAGAAGTTTTTTCAGGGCCAGGTTTGGTACTCCGTCTTGGCCCGATGCGACTTTGGTTTTTAGAGACCCAATGATACTTGATAGCTCCTCCGTTGTTGTGGGAGCTATGTTACCTTTATACTCGGCTTCGTTTAGTAGGCGAATGGATCTTCTTAGGTTACGATCTTCTCTTTCATACTCATCCGGACCTTCATTGGGCGAGAATGTAGACTGTAGATATTCTGCGAATGTGTACGCTTTTTCTTCCTCGCTATAAACCAGCCCTTGGGGACCATGTAGGGGTTGGATTGCGTTAGGCCCCTTTTTTCTGAGGTTTCTGGCCAGTTTCCAGTAGTCTTGAGCTCCCGTGTCCATTTCTTCAAACCTTTTAGTCCATTTGTAGTTGTTGAATTCATTTAGCTCTGTTTTTAGCTGGGCGGTAAGGGCATTGAAGGTTCTCTTATCTCCAGGATCTAAAGTGCGTTGTGCACGTTTCTTGGCTTTACGCTTACGGTGAAGCAGTTCTTGGAGCCTTTTGGGAAGGTTGTAGGGGGATTTGTATTCCTCTTTTTTTCTGATTGTTGCCACTTCCAGAGCTTCTATGATGGTGTTTGTTAGGATGGTTGCTTGGAGTTCTACTTCATGGGGGGAGACTGGTGTAACTTCTCGAGGGGTTTTTTCCGTCATGAAATTATGGAAAGATGGCCAGGACACCCTTTTTCTTTCGTAAAATTGGGGAATTTGCTCATATGCCCCTACGGTTATGGATATTGGGTTGTGGTCCGAGAAGGTATCTATCAGTGTCGAAATTTGAAGGTCACAGTGAAGATTCTTTGTGATGACAATGTCCAGGATGTCGGGCCTGCCATTTGTTGGGAAGTGAGTAGGAGTAGAGGGGCCGATGATCTCCCAGCCCTGTGTTAGGGCGGTGTTTAGCAGCCTTGTACCATATACATTGTTTACTCTGCTGCTCCATGCTATATTTTTGGAGTTTAAGTCTCCTGCCATGATCGTTGAGTGTTTTCAACCATCGCAGATGTCATTTCTAATTCCGGATACGTTCTGCCCGATGGCAGATAGGCTCCAACAATCTTCATTCGCCCGTAGAGTTGAGTTTCAACATATATTGCAGTTAATTCTAATAAGTTATGGTCTGGAGAGGTAACAGCACATTGTGGGATTCTCATGTTGGCAAAGATCAGTACTCCACCACCACCGTCAAATACTGGCCTTGGTTTATTGTAGTGATTATAACCGATAATATTGGGTATAAGTGGGCGTCAAGTTTGGTTTCATTCAGTATTATGATGTCTGGCATTTCCTCTGCAATTAAAACTTCGAGTTCGGATTTACGTGTCTTATATCCGTTAAGATTTCACGATATAATTTTTATTGATTTCGGCTTATTCATTAAGACGTTGGTTGAGCAAACCTGGAGAAAATTTTTTCTTGGAATACCATCATGTTTTGTATGGCCGTGGTGAGAGTAGTTAATGTCTTCATGATATCGTTGCTCTGGTTTGCTGTTTGTTGCCAGACTGGAATGGAGTTTTGTTGTGATGTTAGGGTTTGTGCGTATGATCTAGTGTTTGTGTTTCCGTTCGGATAGGATTGTTTATGTTGCTGTTGTTTTTGCTGGTTGGGATTTTGCGGGCATATCGGTGCGTTAGAGGTATGCGGTCCACCGCAGTTTGCACATTTGGGAGCTTGCGTAAGGTTTTGTGCACTCTCTTGAGTCATGGTTTTGTGCACACTTTAGGCATTTTGGGTTTGCCGTACACCTTGATTGGGCGTGGCCGAATTTTTGACATCGGTAGCACTGGCCTATATTACTGTTGCGGCGCAGTGCTTCCACTTTCACCCGCATAGAGCATAGGTCTACTACGTCGTATATTTTTGCTTCTTCTCTAGGGAGTTTGACCAAGATGAGGGGCATTTCTTGTCTTAGTGGGCCAGATTTTAGGCGAGAGATGGCTTGGATTTAGGCCATGATGTTTAAGGTCTTCAGTAACTTCATTAAGTTTAATCTCGGATAACCACCTGCAGCAGTTTCTCTTCAGGTAGAAGGTAGGTGAGATATTTTTCTTCGTTGTTTTGCATAAATTTGGTTATAGATCTGTATGATTCTATAGTGGCCGGGAAGAATTTAACACCTTTCGCAGTGTTGATTGCTTTGGTGAACTGCCACCCGTTTGCTTTCATCACATTCGATATCATTGTCCAGCGGTCCTTAGTTCTCAGTATTATTGGAGGTATCTTCGGGTGAGAATGCTTAGTTTCATCTGTTGAGGCTTGTGTCGGTTGACCATCCATTGATGTCGAAGGCGGGACGTATGGGGTGGTCAGTCTAAGAGGAGGAAAGCCCTCATTTGCTGGTGGTGGAGTGGAGTGCTGGATGGACCAGGGTAGGGGCCTGTAGTGTTAGCCTTACTTGATTGGTCCTTGGTGGATGCAATTATTTTAGGTTGTTTAAGGGTTGGTGGAATGTATCCATTATAAGAAGTAATTGGTATTGTGTTATTGTTAGTGTTGTTGCTATCCATTTTTCGTTTTTTTGGAAGCAGAGTCCGGGGATCTTTTCGTCGGTGTTTTGGCCAGGAATTGATCTGTTATCTTGGAGTTTGTGTTGATGTTATTACTGTGCTCTTTTTCTGACTTTGTTTCATTGATTTCCATGCCCTCTTCTGCGAGGTTAAGAGGGAGGTTTGTCATTGAGTTTTTGGGTTGGGGTTCTGTTATAAATGGAATTATTCTGTCCCTGTTCATTATGTCCGTGAGAACCTGAAGTTGATGTTGAAGGCCTTGAAACTGGTTCGCCAGTTGGGTGGATAACTGCTCGACCAGAGACAGGAGTCTTTGGTTTTCTTCTTTTAGTTTTTCCATTTCTTTAGATTTAACTTTCAGCAGCCGTTGGTTTTGTAAGGAGGTTGTCGATTTTCTCCTGCGATTTTCTCCTACGGTCTACAGAAAACCGACAACACGGAGCAGATCCCGAAAAACCACTAATACATATAACGCCCGTGAAAAGCAGAAAGCAGACATATATATTAGGGTGTTCCTTATTTACAAGTTATAAACAAAAAATACAAATTTTTTTGGTCTCACCCCCTAAATAGTTTATATTTGGTGTAAGTATAACACACAAAAATTTTGAGCTCCCTAAATTAATATTAACCCGTGCCGACAGGGGCCTAAAATTTAAAAAAAAATACGTATTTTTAAAATAAAATCGTATAAGTGGATTTTTTTTAAATTAGATATATTATTTTTGATTATCAGCCCAAAAGGGTTTGTTTTTTTGGTAAACAAATATAAGAGCATTTTTAACGCCTTTGATTAATACTTAGCCATGTCACAAGGTCCTACAGGAGAGTTAAATACGATCCCAGTTTAAATCAATTTCTCTGTTACAACTGCACACCAAACTCTATTTAATATCGCTATGCCATGGCGTAGGCAGCCCATAATATCATTAAAATGGCACGTCTGGCAACGCTGACAAGAACAGACAGTTAAATAAACTGATGCGCTGCGCATATGCGCAAAGGACAAGTTGCTGTCTTGCAGTCTAGTTGATTATTTTGTTGTTTTATGCGTTTTAAATATAATTTATAATAATTAGTTCGCGTTAAAAATGGCTTGGGCGCTTAGAAGTGAAGAAAGAGTTTATTTGGTTGGAACTGCGGACAGCCAAATACGTGGTTCAAAACTCCCTTCAAATAAACAAGTCCTTTCGGTGTTTTTTTACAATATGAGAAATGTAAAATTAAATGCGCGGGAAAGTGCGAGTTTAGCAGTCCGTGAAACAGCAATTTTTTGGGAAAAAGCAAGGATACCCACAAGAGCTATTCAACACTGCATCCATAAATTGCTTAATTTACACGGAGAATGGCGAAATTTACAAAAAAAATCAAATAAAACTGGAGACATTTATCGAGAAAAGGAAAATAAGTTTATAAATAATTTAGAAAACTTGTTTGACATTGCACACTCTGACGCCTTACAAATAATAAAAATAGAAGAAGATAAGCAATTTTTGATAGCACAAAGACAACCCGGTCGAGTAGGTTGTCTTGGAGGGATTGATAAAAACTTTGAAAAGAAAGAAAAGAGATCCAAAAAACGAAAACAAGAAGAAAGTGAAAGAAAAAGGAAGTATGAACAATTTTTAATAGGACCATCTACTTCGACGGAATTTCCGACAATCGAAGATTCGGATTCGGACGAAGACGAAGCACATCGAATACATGGCTGTGAAATTAAGCCAAATGAGCCAACTACACCAATGGAATCACCTGAGCCAATTCAGCCAACTAAGGTTTGTAAAAAAAGAGGGCGTACAAGTTTTATTTCACCAAATTGGTCGTAGCCTTAGATCGGTGCCAATTAAGTGTTCGAGATGCAGTTTATGTATTACAAGCGGCAGCAGAAGCTTTAGGACATAACTTGGATGATTTAGTAATAAATAGCACTTCCATTTATCAATGCCGTAAAAATTTACGTGCTCAGCGTGCTGAATCAATTAAAACCAGATTCGAAGGATCGCCACCTAGCTATATTACTGTACATTGGGACGGAAAGCTTTTGCCAAGATTAAGTATTAATGAATCATCTGTTGAGCGACTACCGATTGTCGTGACTAGTAAAAATGTAGAACAACTTCTTAAAGTACCGAAACTTGAAAGATCAACCGGACAAGATCAGGCATCAGCTGTTTATAATGCATTACAGGAATGTGGATTATCGGATACAGTTCAGGCATTGTGTTGTGATACTACAGCCTCAAACACTGGGAGAATTTCTGGAGCGTGTGTTTTGTTAGAGCAGAAGCTGGGAAAAGATCTTCTTTACCTTCTTTGTCGTCACCACATTTATGAATTGGTTTTGAGAGGCGTGTTTGAAGCTAAAATACCCCATGTAACTTCAAGTCCAGATATTACGTTGTTTAAAAATTTTAAGAAAAACTGGTGCAGTCTAGATCATAGATCATTTAAAAACGGAATGGAAAATCCCGAATGTTGTGCTGGTTTAGAGGATGTAAGAACGGAAGTTCTTAACTTTTCACTGAGCAAACTAAAAGAAACGCAATTCCGACATGATTATCGAGAGCTGCTTGAACTAGTCGTCCTTTTTCTTAATGGCGATGAACAAAATAAATTAAAAATTCGTCCTCCTGGAGCCATGCATCAAGCTAGGTGGATGGCTAGGGCCATTTATTGTTTAAAAATTTTTATGTTTCGTAATGAGTATCAAATTTCTAGTATGGAAGAAACTGCTCTTGGAGATATCTGCGTTTTTATAATTCGATTTTACGTAAAAGCGTGGTTTGATTGTCCAATGGCAAGTAAAGCTCCACATCAAGATCTTAATTTCATAAGGAATTTGAAAATTTATGAAGGCAAAGATCCAATAATTTCCGAAGCAGCCCTTAAAAAAATATGTGGCCACTTATGGTATTTAACGGAAGAGACGGCCGCCTTAGCATTTTTTGATAATGATTTATCAATCGAAACAAAAAAACGTATAGTAAAAGCTCTAGAAAATGAGGGAACTTCTAGTCCAACTAAACGACTGATAATTAAACTAAAAGAAATCGATGATAACTTTATAGGTATAATTTTACTATAATTATTAGCTCCGTAAAAATTAATACAAGTTTGTTTTCAGCCAGAACAATTGACAACTTTCTTTCTGAAAAAAGCAAAAATCTATTTTCTAGATTTAATATCGACCCAGAATTTCTGAATCATGATCCCTCAACATGGGAATCGCAAGTGTCGTATTTAAATGGGCGCGAAATTATAAATGCGTTAAAAGTCGTCAACGACACTGCTGAAAGGTGCGTAAAATTAATGGAGGATTTTCACGGCAACCTGACAAAGGACGAGAAACAAAAACAATATATTTTGCAATGTGTGCAAGAGCACAGAAGAGTGTATCCCAATTGCAAAAAAGATACATTAAAACAAACATATTAATAGTTTATTAATTATAATTTTACTTTATTTTAAGACCCCTCTAAGGGGAGTTGGTATTTGTTATAAGGGTTAAAGTAATTCTTACCACATTATAATAATATATAACAGTTATTTGTACAAAATAAATTAAACACGAATAAAAAAAAAATTTTGTGTCTTTATTTTAAAATACGTTTTTTATCAAACTTAAGGCCCTCGTCGGCACGGGAAAACAAATTTTTAGCGGGCTAAAATTTTTACCATGTTAGTTTTATACCAAACGTAAACTTTTTAGGGGGTGAGACCAAAAAAAATTAAAAGACCCAAAATAAGGAACACCCTAATATATATATATATATATATATTTATGTCGGGGTTGCATCCCCTTGTATTAACATAAACTAATATCTACTTTGGTAACTCGTAGAATGGACGTGATCCCACTGGTCGTGCCAAGTCAGGCATCCAAAAACTGAATGCCCGTCCCTCTTTCTATCACGATGCAAAAGCCATCGTTGCTTGCTCATCATTTCGCATATACAAGGTGTCCCTAAACTTAGTGGCATAAATTTAGGAGCAGATTAAGCAAGTCAAAATAAGACGAAAATCTAACTAAATATTTTTCCTAATTACGTATGTTTAAAAGTTATAGGGTGATAAAGTGTTACTTATCATATCAGTTTTTTTAATATAACTTCTACTATGGTAGACTTGGAAAGGTGATATTTTGCGAACAGTCACTTACTACCAAAACACATATTCACACATGACAATTGTTTGAGTGAACACAGTGTCGTAGAAACGGGGGATGCTTTAAGCTTATTGTCCCATACAAACTTTGAGGTTAGGTTTTTGTAACATTTGATGCAATTTATCGATTAAACAGTTCGGCTACCATTAAAAAGGTATACCTCTCAAAGTTCGATAAAATAAACCGTTTCCGAGATATTTGAGATTACAATAATTGTTTTATCGCATTATTTAAAAGGATTAAAAGGTATATGATAACAAATTTTATTTTTTAATTGAAAAAACTAAAAAGGGCATTCCTTGAGCCTCGGGACTTTTTGCCCTGACCGTCACATTAAAAAAAATGTAGTTTTTTCAATTAAATTTTTTTTTATCATATAAATTTTAGTCCTTTAATGCGATATAACAATTATTGTAATCTCAAATATCTCGAGAACGGTTAATTTTATCGAAGTTTGAGAGGTACACCTTTTTAATAGTAGCCGAACTGAGTGATCGAAAAATTGCATCAAATGGTATAAAAACCTAACCTCAAAGTTTGTATGGGACAATAAGATTAAGCAACCCATGTTTCTACGACACTGTGTTCACTCAAACAATTGAAATTATGTGTGAATATGTGTTTTGGTAGTAAGTGACTGTTCGCAAAATATCACCTTTCCAAGTCTACCATAGTAGAAGTTATATTAAAAAACTGATATGATAAGTAACACTTTATCACCCTGTATCTTTTAAACATACGTAATTAGGAAAAATATTTATTTAGATTTTCGTCTTATTTTGACTTGCTTAATCTGCTCCTAAATTTATGCCACTAAGTTTAGGGACACCTTGTATATATATATATATATATATATATATATATATACAGGGTCCCGGGGGGCACCTTAAAAAATATTAATAAGAAAAAAAATGTGCGCCACTGATTTTTTTGCAGTTTTTATACATTTTTTTAGTTTAAGCCACTAAAAATACAACTTTTTTGTCTCTTGAGTATTTTTCGTATCTTACCTCGTTTTCGAAAGAAAAAATAAAAACCATATTATTACATGAAAATTGACAAAACGCATATTTTACACTATTATGTTTAAGGAATAAATAAGTGGGCTTTGGAATAAGTAAAAGATTGACAGATTGAAAATTAAATGAATTTGATATTATTGCTTTCAAGTAGAG